TGAGGCAAATCAGAGCATTTCCAAGCACTCTGCACTGCTTCCAGCTAAAGCTCTGGGGTCAACAAGACCCCAGAAATCACTGTGAGTCATTTCACAAGTGGCTCAAGCCACAAGCACCAGGCGTAGGTGCCATGAGACCCCGAGCTCCAGGCTCCTGTGCACCCACTCACAGCCACTGCACCCCAAACCCTGACACCCCACACCCAGGAGCTACAGCCCACCAGCCCTGGAGGCAACCCACAGCATTTCCAAGCATCTCCCAGCTTGTTCAACAAGACCCAGCAGGAAAACTGTGAGTGATTTCACAAGTGGCTTAAGCCAGTGCATGACTGAGCTGCTGTTGCACCACAGGAACTCCCACGCTCGTCCACAGCAGCGATCCCACCCCACAGCTGATCCTGAAACCTTCCCAGCAGCAGGAGCTCCAAGCTGGATGAAGTTTAAAGGGGAAGCAGGAATAGGTAAGTGAGGGCAAAGGCTGTGACTGCCCTTTTCCCTGCTGACATGGTTTCAGGTAAAACCAACCTGCACCACACCCAGAGTTGATGTTCTCCCTCCCTTATTCCCCAGTGGGGTTGTTTGTTGCCTTTTAAGTTTTGTCTGCCCTAAATCTCAGTGCATTTGTGCCCAATCACAGCAGCCTGGGCACAGCCTCCTTCATTGAGGCGTTTTTTCCTCCTTCATCGAGGTTAGAATGATGGAATTACAGAATGATGGAATTASAGAATCCTGGGGGTTAGAAAGGACCTTTAAGATCATCAAGTCAGCCCAGCACCAGCACCATGGTCACCACTAAACCATGTCCCAAGTGCCACATCCACATGTTTTTGAAACAATTCCAGGTATCCTGATTCCATCACTGCCCTGGGCAGTTTGTTCAATGCTTCACAACCCTTTCCATGAAGGAATTTTCCCAATTTCCAATCTCACCCTCCCCTGGCCCAGCCTGAGGCCGTTCCCTCTCCTCCTGTCCCTGTTCCCTGGAGCAGAGCCCGACCTCCCCGGCTGTCCCCTCCTGTCAGGGAGTTGTGCAGAGCCACAAGGTCCCCCCTGATCCCCCTTTGCTCCAGGCTGAGCCCCTTTCCAGCTCCATTCCTTTCTCTGGATGTGCTCCAGCCCCTCAATGTCCCTCTCATCATGAGGAGCTCAAAACCAACCCCAGGATTCGAGGTGGAGCCTCAGCAGTGCCCAGCACCGTGAGACAGCATCCCACAGCTCTCACCTTACAAGGAATGAAACTGTTCTGGTTTGTCTCAGGATTAAAGGCTGCAGAGAGGAGGAACTGAGGCCCTTGTAAAGCTGCAATGTGTGGGCAGAGGAGTGACCAAAGCAGGATTTGCATATTTTCCTGCCCAGGTCACTGGTGCAGGTGCAGCCAKAACACAGGAACTGCATCATTTGGAGTTAATGAGGCAGTTGGGCCAACACTGAGCCAAACCTGTCCCTGGATCCACAGCCAGCACCACTCAGAGCCTGGGCAGAGACCACGATGAGGTCAGCAGTGATGGGATGTCACACATGGTCACCCTGGGCTCTGGGCAGAGACACGATGGGGTCAGCAGTGATGGGATGTCACACATGGTCACCCTGGGCTCTGGGCAGGATCACAGCAAGGCTCCTGTGCAAGGACACTGTGAGGGACCAACCAGGCTGATGGACACATTCTGAGCTCAGCTACATCAACTGGACACATTCTGAGCTCAGCTACACCTGCACAACATTGAACAGCTCCCTTCAGTGGTGCCAAATGTTGCTCGTTGGGTGCAGACAAATCTAGAGGTTTTTAATGAGATTTATGATTGTGGCAGACATAAGGGAAATAAACATTCTCTCTATATGACAGAAATAATGTACTTGAGTTCTGCCCAGTTTGGGATCAAATTGGCCTCATGCATTGCTGCTTCCCAGGGGAGGGGGCCACACTTGTCCCCTCTGCACCCCTGGCATGGATCCTGCTCTGCTCAGGGAACAGGGAGAGCATCTCAGCAGCCAAGAGACAGCAAACTGCTCTCCCTAAAAGCCTGAGCCCTTCCCTCCCTGTGGAACACAGCACAGCTGAGCACTGAAGGGAAGAAAAAAACCCTATTTGATATTTTTCTCCGTTAGTTTTTGTTCTGAAACCGCCCAATTCTCCCAGGCTGGGAGGAGGGCAGGGAAGCTGCTGCTGGTTTTGAGAGCCCAGGAAGCCTCGGGTATCACAAAGAGCAGCCACTCGAGTTCCCTGGAGCAGCACGGCTCCATCCTGCCATCTCCTGCCTCCCTGCCCAACTGCAGCAAACCCAGCTGATGCCTTAGGATTTTTAGTTTTTATATTTTCATGTATCTGTATTCTGGTACTTCTCCAGTGCACAGCACTAAAGCTGCTGCTCTCA